TCTCCTCCTCCTCCTCCGCCTCCTCCTCCCGCTTCCTCCTCTTCTCCTCTCCCTCCTCCTCCTCCTCCTCCTCCTCCTCCTCCTCCTCCTTCTTCTCCTCCTCCTCCTCTCCTCCTCCTCCTCCTCCCCCTCTGGAGGAGGAGGAGGAGGAGGGCGACGACGACGACGACGACGATAATTCACGAGGAGGGGGAGGAGTCGAAGGAGTCGGAGGAGGAGGAGGAGAACGAGAACGAGGACGAGGAGGAGGAGGAGGAAGGAGAAGGAGGAGGAGGAGGACGAGGAGGAGGAGGAGGACGAGGAGGAGGAGGAATAGACGCGCCGCGTCGAAGGCCGCAAGCCTGATGCTCACCGGCCGGGTGGCCGCACCGCTGAGACAGAACAAGCACTCGGTGGGGAGTGCCCGGGGAGCAGACCGCACGCACAAGGCAGCCATGCTCGACCTCGACTGCCGGCCGCGTTGCTGCAAGGTTAGCCTGGACGTGAGCAGCGCCCACAACGAGTTCGACCGGGCAGCCGCGGCGACCGCGGTGTCGACCCAGGTCCCCGACCTGCTGCCCTGGGTGAGCCTGGTTTTGTGCACCGCTGCCACGAACGTGCACGTGGCGCGCGACGGCACGCAGACAAAATTCCCGAAGGAGTGCGGAGGGAACCAGGGAGACGCTCTCACAAACCAGGTGTTCCCTCTGTGCTACACTGTGGTGGCCAGCGCCGTAGGGCAGGCCGCAGCAATCGCGACGGAACCAGCGAGTGGCTACTGCTAGCGGGATGACCTGGACGTCATCTGCGACCCCTGCAGAGCCCGGCTGGCCTCCGCGGCAACCCTGAACAAACGAGGCTGAGCCCGGGCCGCGAGGTCGACCAGGCGGCGCTTCCCGAGCCACGCGAGCTGGATCCCCAGGCCCTGGTGCTCCACCGCGGCGCGCTGCCGACGGTCCTGGCGACCCCGCCGCGGCGCCGGCGGAAGCGAGCCTCCTTGCCGAGGGCAGCCCGCCCCGAGGTTGCTGCGCTGCAAACGGCCAGCGGGAGGCTCTACCAAAGGCCACGCAGCCTTTTGCGCGGCGGGATTGGACAACCACGCACGCGGCGCTGACCCTCCTGCGCACGAGGCCGGAATCCACCTACACCCGCGGAATCTCAAGCGGGGAGGCACGGGCCGCGGACGGGGCGCCGGCTGCTGAGCACGAACACGCCCTGGGCGCCCCGCTGGACAACACCGCGCGCAGAAGGCTCTTCCTCGCTGGCGCCGCTGGGGGCCACGGCCTGCAGAGCGCGGAGCTCGCGGCCCCCGCGGCGAACACAGCCTCCCGGCACCTCCGCCTGCCGCATTGCCTGCGGCGGCTCGGCCTGGAGAGCACCGCTGCTCTGGCCGCGCCGGGCCCCTGGGCGCGCCGCATTCTACCGACGGCCACGACCACGCTCTGGGCCGCGCTGGGAGACGGCACCGCCCACGCGGGCGACGAGGCACCGGCAGCCACGCAGCACGCCCCTGCCACGGCCTCCCTCGCCGCGGCTGCCCACCTCGCTGCTGACGAAGCGGCCGCGGACCTGCTGGCGGTGGCCTCCCTGCGCTCTACAAGTGGCCCGGGGGCGAACGCCCTCCTGCAGGTGCCGACGCCGCCCTGCCACCGGCCGACCAACGCGCCAGCTCGGCAACGCAATGGAGTTTCGGCTGAACCTCGACTTGCCGGGATGCGCGGGCCCTCTGGTGGAGGCAGGCGCGGCCGGGCCCAGACTGCCGCGGCCCCGCCAACACTGGCACACCCACGGCGAGATCTGGAGCGCTCCGCTCGACCCCAACGGGCGACACGCGCGCGGCTGCGCAGTGGGGCGGCGGCTGGTCCACCGACGCCCGCAGAGTCGCGCGAGGAGCAGGGGCGCCAAATGCACAGGGAGTTCCTGACCCCCCACTCCGCACCGCAGAGCCCAGAGGCGCGATTGGACCTCGTCGCCCACGCCCCGCGCACACCACAGTCGCTCATGGTCGACCTGACCGCGGGGAGCGCGCTTACGCAGGACGCTCGGCCCAGCGCTGCAGGACGGCGCAGCAGCGACGCCGCTGCGCGGTGCAAGCAAGCCCGCTACCTAAGGGTGGCTGCGGTCCCGTCCGTCATTGAGGATCACGGCCGCCTGGGCGAGAAGGCGCTGGCCCTGGCACATCTGCTGGCGCCCGCCCAGGACGCCGAGCGCTCAGCGGCCATCCAGCGACTGCACCAGTCGCTCGGGGGCGCGCCTTGCAGCGTCACGCCGTCGACGCGGTGCTGGCGGCGGCCCAGGCGCAGCACTGGGCCGCTGGCGCCAGGCGGGCCGGCCTGGCCCAGGGCTGCGCTGCTGAGGGCGCACCGCTGGCTGCCGTCTCGGCGACGGGCGCCGACGGACGACCGCGGCGCTAACACGAGAGCGGCGGGCGCGCCCAGCCTGGCCAGGCCTGGCCAGGCGGGGGGCCCCGGGCGGGCCGCCGCGCGCGCAGGCGGGGCGCGCAGGCTGGGGGGCGGAGCGCGCGCGCTGGAGCCGCCGGCGACGCGGCGGGCGCCGCGGCGAGCCCGCACCGCTGGCGGGCGCCGCATTGCGCTGCTGGGGCGAGGCCACCGGCGTTCTGGGCGCGGCCAGGGCACGGCGGCGCTGGGGTCAACACGCGAGCAGGCAGCGAGCTGACGGGCCCAAAGCTGCCAACCCCGCGCGGGGCGCTCGGCGTTCTCGCGGCCAGCTGCCCTGTCGCCTGGGAATCCGCGGTAATCCCAGCCATCCCTGGCTGGCAGACGCCCCCCCGGGGTTGGCCGCTGCCCTGGGCAACCAGCCACCCCCCGGGAGGCCGCCCTCTTTGACGGGCGGCACCGGCGTCTGCTGGCCCCCGCTCCAAGCGCTCTGGCCGCGGAAAGACCAGCGCGCACCACCAGAAGCGAAGGAGGAGGCGGAGGAGGAGACGGGGAGGGCGGGATATGTGGAGGAGGAGGACAAGAATGAGGGAAAGAGAGGCTGAAGGAACAGGAGGAATGGGAAAGAGAAGGAGGCGGAGAAAGAGGAGATACGAGGAGGTCGGCCAGCCAGACAGTCAGCAGCGAGACATGGCGGGGGAAGGAGGAGGGCTCGAGCCCAAACAATGGCCCCAAGGAGGAAGGAGGGGGAGCATCAGTGAAAGAAAAAAAAGGAGAGGCAGGGACAGCGATTATCTTGGAACTGGGATGTCTGTTGCCCCGCGACCCCCTCCCTCGCCCAGGACAACCGACGGCGGCCGGGGCGGCCAGGGGCCAGGGGCGCCGCCGCGCCTGGCCAGGGCCACCAGGCCGCCGACCTGCCGAGCAACTCCCCCCTCCAGAGCTCCAACAACCCGCAGGCAGCCTCGGCTTTCCTAAGCCTCCGAACCTCGAGCATCGAGCGCCGCAACGCAGCTCTGCGTCTCGGCCGCTGGGGCTGCTGGCGCCACGGACGCGGACAGCACGTCCAACTGCTTGCCCACCTAAGTCGCGACGTCACCATCCGCCCTCTTGAGTTCTGCGAGCGTCGAAGCGTCGTCCTTGGGAAAGAAGCACCTCCGAACGCCTGAAGCTGGCTGGCCGCTGGCTGGAGCGATTTGCGCCAGCCACCCGGGGGCGCGCAAGGGCTCGCACCGGCGGCGACTGCAGCGCGGCGCAGGTTGCAATGCACGTCGGTCTCGCTGCTCGCCATCTTCTTGGCACTCTCCCAATCATCTTCAGCAGCAGCGAGACGAGGGCGCGCGAGCGGCGAGTCTACAACGGTGCCGAGTCAATCTGCATGGACGGCGGAGCCTCGAAGTCGCCCCGCGCCACACCGTTGCACAGAGCGCAGGAGTCCACCAGCCGCATATGGATGGCGCCACTCACGAGCCACCTGACGGAGGGGAGCAGGTTCGACTCGAACCAGTGGCGAAAGCAGTTCGGCACGTAGCCAGAAAGGAAGGCCCGGCGAACCTCTGGGAGCGCGGCGCCATGCACCAAGTCCGCGATGATCCAGTTGTCGCGCGTCATCTTGATGACTTAGTCCTCGACGTCGCCGGCGCCCTGAGTCGCCCGCAACGCGCGCTGGACAGCTCCATCCGACCCCCTCGCCGCCAAGAACCCCAAGGAGGATGGCCCCTCCTGTCTGGGCGCCTCGACATGACACCCCCCTTTTATTAGTATTACTATTCTTCTTTCTCTCCAGGCAATCGCCGCGCGCGGTGCTCTGCTCGATCTTGAACGGCAGGCCAAATGTTCCTCGCAGGCGGCGGCGGCATTAGTCCCCCGAACGGAAGCGCGCCCCGCAGACTTCCGGTCGAGCGCAAAGTAAGCGGCATTCTTCGAGAACTCCAGCTTTGCAGTGGCCTGCTCGACGCCCCTGGGAAGATCTGCCTTTGCCGCGTCATCGGGCTCATTCTGCCGCTGCCCCGATCGCTTCTTCTGAAGAGCTGCCGCCCCCATGGCGCGTTTGAGCGCCTTGAGCGACTGGGCCAAGGCGAAATGAACCTGGCCGATGAACTCCTTCTGCTGACCAACCATGACAATGAGTGCGCCGAGGTCCGCCCAGCATTTCACGGACCCGCTAGACCGCGGCAGCTCGCTCACACGGCCCGACCTCGGAAAGCGCCCGGGGTTCTCGACAGGCAACATACCGACGCCTTGGCGCTGGCCCACAGGACGGCGCAGCGCACGTAATCGATCTGGCCATGTGTCAACGTTACAAGTGGCACTGCGGCAGCTGCGGACAGAGGCACCTCGCCCCCCTGACTCCCCGCCCCCCCCAGGGTCCCCCCCCCTTGCTGATATCCACGCGCTCATGTTCCATCTCCTTCTCCAGAGCCTGCTGATCTCCGAAGAGTTCCCTCGTTTCCCCCCAGAGCGCGCCGAAAAAGTTCTTCTTGAAGTCGCAAAGAAAAGCACCTGACATGCACGAGAGGCGGAAGTCGGGGAGGCCCGTGAACGGCCAATGGCCCATTCGACTGCTCAATCAGTTCATTGGTCATATCGGCACTGTTGGAATCGCCCTGGCTCTGGTCGAAGCGGCAGCGCAAGCACAGCCCAGCCAAGACAAGGCGCCCCTCCAGGGTTCGACCCCCCTCGGGAGGAACCCCCCACCGGCTCGACAGGAGGGTCGACGCAGCGTCGGACATGCAAGTGCTCATCTTGCTTCACAGACCCGATGGGCGGTCTGCGCCGACCTCCGGGCTGCCATCCGACTGACCTTCGCGCCCGATATATCGCCTCGACGTATTGGCGGTCTCTCACCGTCAATTTTGACATCGGCCCTCTCCCTCGCCATCTAGGAGTGGCGCTGGCGCGCTCGGGCCTGATCGAGGTCTGCAGCCCCTGCCGACAAACGCAACGCCCGCTTGATGGCGTCGCCCTCCTGTGGCCGATCAGACTGGACAGCGGTCGTCAAAGCGTCGCTTGTCGGCGGCCGCTGCATCTCCCCCGTCGGCGCGTCGGCGGCGTGGAGCGCGCGCTTGAAGTTCCTCGGGGGCTCGACCCACATCGGGTTGATCGTCTCCTGGTCGGTTTTCGCATTGGTTTCCGTGGTGTGCAGCTTCCCCTTGCCCTCGCACCTGCCGTGCTTGTCGTCGAGGGAGTCCTGGCCGAAGAGTCCGCTCGGCAACCACTGTCGTATTTGGACCAAGCTGGCCCCTGATCGCCACGACCAACTTGTGGGCTTCTGAGGCGTCCACTTGCTCCGTCATCGCTGTGAAGACCGCCTCATAAACCTTCAATTTCCTCGTGGCGTTCATGGACTCCTGTCGGAAACCTCCAGATGGAAATACTGAGTGAAACGGACTCCGTTATGTTGAATTTGACGCTTGCCGGAGTCGGGCACTTTTCTAACGATGTCACAGGAGAGCGCCACAGCTTGATTCGGCATCCTCCAGTTCCCAACCGTCCGATCACGCCTCGGTTGGCCACGCAGCACCCCTACAGAGATCATCGATCAGCCCTAGCGACAACGAAGAACGACTGGCGATCGATAGATCTAAGGATGGACGATCGGAAATCCGCCAGCGGTCAGATCTGCGATCATCGGCGATGGGGCCGAAGTTCGATCGTCGATCTGTTGATCGATTCGATTTGAATACGATGCTCGCGGGGCGGCCGCAATAATGATCGATGTAGTTGCATCGAGCATCGGCAGAATGAGTGCCACGCTCATCACCGAACAGTTTGGTGAAAAGATCCCTGTCCAAGCCCTCTGCCACGCCGTGGCTGTCGACCATTGCACCAGGGTAATCATCAGGCGGCGCCCTCCATGCATCGGAGCTGGCTTTCTTGTAGGCAACGTCACCAAATTCCAGTGCTTCTTAAACAACCGACCATTCGAAGAAGCGTCCTCGCAGCACAAGTAAACGCCTTTGTTCCTAATGCCGCTCGCGCGGCTGAGGCTGCCCAGGCGGCTCTTCGCTGAGTCAGCGACTGAGGCGGGATCGACCTGGCGCTGCTGAGCAAGCTGGAAGTGCGTTCCTGTCTGCACCTCGTCCTTCTTTCCCCACTTCCGCTTCTCCCCCTTCCCCCTCCTTGTCTGCAATTCGCGCCTTCCCAAGGCTGCCGGCCGGAAGCGAGGGAGCGCGAGCAGGAGGAGGCGAAGAGGCGAGGGGGGCAGTAGGATGAGGAAAAGGGGAGAGAGGCGACAACAAGGACGGAAGGAAAAAACGAAGAAGGAAGAGCGTGCGTGAGGGCAGAGGAATGGGGGGGATGGGAAGCGGAGATTAGGTTTGAAGTCCAATTTTTTTTGCGGGCGCGGGTCTAATTCAAAACCAAATCGAACCAGGCGGTAGGTCCCAGAGCCGATCCATTATATTCCTCCTCATCCACCTCCCACTCGGCTACCACATCTTCTCCTCATACTCCACCCCCTCGTATTCCCCATCCTCCAAGCACTGCTCCTAGTCATTATTCTGCTCTTTCCTCCTCCCATCCCTCCTCCCATTCCTCGGGTTTAACTTCCTCCTCCTCCTCCTCATCCTCCTCCTCCTTCGCTTCCTCATTTCAGAAACGGTGGGAGAGGCCGTCCTGGACGACAACTGCCGTCGGGACGTGTGTCAGCGACCCTCCTCCTCTTCCTCGGGTTCCCAAATCCGCTTCCTCGTCCTGGAGAGGATGGGAGCGGCTGTCCTGGACGATGACTGCCGTCGGGACGTGCCTCAGCGACGGCGGCGGGAAGCAGGGGTTGAGGGCTCTCCCTCCCCTCGTCCTAATCCTCCTCCTCCTCCGCCTCATCACCACCACACCATCATCCTCATCCAAATCCGCACCATCACCACCACCATCGCCATCACCATCACCAGAACCATCACCATCGCCATCGTCATCATCGTCGTCATAATAATCGTCATCAGCATCAGCATCATCATCATCATCATCATCATCATCATCATCATCATCATCATCATCATCATCATCATCAGCATCATCATCCTCATCCTCATCCGCATCCTCATCATCATCAACAACAACATCAGCATCATCATCAGTAGCATCATCATCATCAGCAGCATCATCATCATGATTTATCATCGACATCAATCATCATCATTATCAGCAGCAGCATCGTCAGCAGAAGCATCAATATCAGCATCAGCATCAGTATCAATAATCATCATCATCAGCAGCATCAGCATCGTCATCAGCATCATCATGATCAGCATCATCATCAGCATCATCAGCAGCGTTATCAACAGAATCATCGGCATCATCATCATCATCATCATCATCAGCATCATCATCGTCGTCGTCGTCGTCATCACGAATCATCAGAATCCTCAGCATCATCATCAGCATCATCAGCATCTGCATGATCATCAGCAGCATCATCAACATCATCATTACCATCAGCATCGTCGTCGTCATTAGCATCAGCAGCAGCAGCATCATCATCATCAACACCACCACCACCATCATCGTCATCAGAATGATCGGCATCGTTATCGTCGTCTTCATATGTATCATCATCAGCATCATCATCAGCAGCAGCATCATCATCGTCATCATCATCAGCATCATCACCAGTATCAGCATCATCATCCTCATCAGCATCACCATAGTCGCCGTTGCCACCATCAGCACCAGCAGAATCACCATACTCGCTGTCTTCGTCATATTCAAACGTCATCATAATCAGCATCAGCGTCTCATCATCATCATCATCATCATCATCAGCATCAGCATCATCATCATCAGCAGCATCATCATCAGTAGCAGCAGCAGCAGCAGCAGCAACAGCATCAGTATCATTATCATACTCGTTCTACTCACCAAAAGCATCAACCACATCATCTTTATCAACAACAGCGTCATCAACATTAGCAGCAGCAGCAGCAGCATCAGCAGAAACATCAGCAGCCGTACCAGCAGAAACAATAGAATCAACATCGCAGCATCCTTGCGATCAGATTCATTATCATCCACATCCTCATCATCAGCATCATCACCACCCGAATCCTCATCCTCATCCTCATCATCGTCGTAAGCACCATCACCACCATCATCGTCACCATGGCGTTCGTCGTCGTCACCAGGATTAGTGGACAATACGATTCGGCGCAGGGTATTCCAAGGAAGGCGCAGTCGCCTTCTTCGCCAGCAGAGGCGTCTTCAGGATCACCGTCATCGTCCTCACGAACATGGGGTGAAGACGAACGCGCGAGGGCGTTCGACGTTTTGCAACGCAAAAGAGAAGAAAATGCGCACGCAGCTCCCCGAAATCCCACGCCGCCCCCGTACCCACCCCACCCTGCCCCCGCCCCCCCTTACAGAAAAGAACGCTTGGGCAAACGAGATCTCCTCGGTTCACTTGGGCAGTGTGTTCCCGCCGGGTCGGCGAGGGGAGGGGGGAGGGGGGGAGGAGGGGGAGGGGGAGGGGTGAGGGGGAGGGGAGGGGGGAGGGGGGGTCGGGCGAGGGGGAGGGGGGGGGCGAGGGGGAGGGGGGGGGGGAGGGAGGGAGGGGGGGGAGGGGGAGGGGCATAACGGCGAGGAAGGCTTGCGTTCATACAGGCACACCATGCTCTGGACAGCGGAGAGCGGCCGCGGCATCCAGTCCAGAGCTGAAGGGAATCAGAAGGTCCCCAGCCTCCTCCTCCTCCTCCTCCTCCTCCTCCTCCCCCTGGGCTTCCTCCACCTCGTGCTCATCGTCACCGCCATCATCATCATCAGCAACAACAGCAACAAGACCACCAACAACCACAGCAGCAACAGCAACAGTAACAGCAACAGCCAACAGCAACAGAAACAGCAAAGGCAACAACAACAACAACAACCTCAACAACAACAACAACAACAACAACAACAACAACAACAACAACAACAACAACAATCATTTTACCCGAACGCTCAGTGTTCTCCCCAGTGCCAGGGTTTTCTTGCGACACCAGCCAATACCCCCACTTCGTGGGGGGGCCGTTCAAGCTCTACCAAATATCCAAACGACTCTTCGAGACCACCCACACCCAGCTTCCCGCCCTATGACGTTGGGACACTTCACTTCGTGGCGTGCGGACGACCCTGGCTACTACACTGGCGTGGGGTACACACCCACAGAGGTTGATCACATCTGTTACATATGATGTGGTACACGGTACACGTGAGATGGTACGCAGTGCCAAGATAGTTGGTCACATTTTTGGGGCAAATTCGTGGGGATGCGATTACAGAAGTACATGTGTTACACTGATGTTATACAGTCCCAAGGATGACGCATGCATTGCTCATAGACTCATGGCGCTATGATCCTAACTCTCAGTGCCCAACGCGCGCGTGCACAGCCAGACGGAGGGAGAGAAACACATGTATACAAGGTTCGTGACATACGCACGGTCCACCATGTTGTAAACGATCGCATGCACGGTAAGTTCTGAAATTATACGTATGTACAAGCAGACATGCGAGGGAGAAAGGGAGATGGCCATCGACAGTTCCAATACGGCTCCAAGGCGGAAGAGGGGGAGGAGGAGCAGGACAAGGAGGAAAGGAGAGAAGCGAGAAAGGAAGAACGCAGACGGCGCGGCTCTGGACACAAAGGGGTGCCATACTTTCTCCTGCTTTCGCAAACAGGTCCAGTCACACGTAGGGGTATACTCAACCGAATGGTCTTCGCATCCAGGAAGGACATTTTGACAATTTTTTCTTAAAAAACCATTGGGTGTTTGATGTTTTTATGTTAAAATCGCTACGAAACCTAAGGTTTTGGAAGGATTTCGCCTTGCGAGCGCGAATGTCCACTTTACCTTATTTTTTGCAAGGGATTCTTGAAATTTGATCAACTAAGAACAAGAATTTTCATTTTCTATTGTTTTTTGCAAGGGAAAACGAGCGTCAACAAAAAACCGGATCCGGGGGTAATCCACTTTTCTGAAGCTTTCGCAGAAAAATGATGAAAATGTAGCTGCGGCCTAGGTTTTGGGCGGGGGGCGTGCACCAGGGGGTCCAACAATAATAATTCTTTAGAAGTAATAGTGTTCAACAACAACAACAACATCATGAGCAACAACCTCAACATCAACCTCAACAACAACAACAACAACAACAACAACAACAACAACAACAACAACAACAACGACGACGACGACGACGACGACGACGACGACGACACCAACAACAGCAACAACAACAGCAACGACAACGGCAACGATCATTTTAAGACTATTCGCTCTTACTGGTACGCGTGTCTTGCATTCTGTATACCCCATCCCTCGATACCCGCCCACTTCGTCTGCGATTGCACCCCCTTTCGGGGGGAATATCT